AGATGTTCCACCATGCTGGATGTATCCCCAACAACTGGTTCCTCTGTTCTCTGGTTCTGATCCATGCTACATTGATTTATTCATCCAGTAGGTTTTTATTTTCCTCTCTGCTCAGTGGAAACACTGGCTGCAGTTCAGCTGAATTTTTGTCCCATAACTGTTGGTCACCGCTGAGTCAGTCAAAGATTCTTAGTTCGTAATTTGTTTTTGTTTTTTAACAGAAGTAATAGTTTGGCTTTTTTTAATGGGACATGTAGAATATAGAGGTTTTAAAGAAATATCGCAATTTAAACATTATATACATGTTTTATCTTATGTTTATATATTATAGAAATGACAGTTATTCCTGTTTTTACCATTTCTGGCTGACAAATTGTGTTGTTTTTCCAAATTTTATTTCATTTTTTTTAAAAAGGGAAAACCCACTGTCAGGTTTCAGGGTTCAGACGTTTAAAGGGATTGTAAAATAAGTGACAGGTTTCTCTAATATGCAGAAAATAAAACCATATTCAAACAGATGGGTGACAAAAATGGTGGTTCTCCACACTATAAATATTTACTACTTCCATTTTTAATTTCCATCTGCTCCGCGTAAACACAGCCTGCAGTTCAGCCAAAACGTCCTTGAGTTTTTGTCACGAGGCTGTTGGTTGCACCTGAATCTATCATGGCTCTGAGGAAAGCAGAATCTTTTTGTATTTTACAGAATTTGGTTGAAGCAAATGGTTTATTTTCAAGTTATTTTGGTGAAATATCGCAATTTTAAGCTCAGATTTTGGTCAAGTTCCGGCACATTATGGGATGATTAGTTCAAGGACTGTTGGAAAGTTAACCATCTGGTGATTCTTTTTAATTTTCACAAATTTATACTCTAATAAAAGGTGTAATTTTGGTGGATTTCTAAAGAGAACATGCCGTTTGAGCAGTTTTTCTGCATTCAGAGGGCTACATTGTTTATTATGTAAAGAGGTTACATAAGCAGCCTTCCAGACTTCAGGAAAGGTTGGACGACGTTAGTTCTTTCCTTTACCTCTCGCTGCCTGTCAAAGGCTCCATGTCGAGGTGAGGGAACAGGCTGGTGATGTCGCTAGAGCTCTCCTCCTGCACGATGAACAGCAAGTTTTAGAGAACAAACTACCAACGTCAGAATAAAAAACGAGCTGAAGCCACAGAACTCACCGCTGCCTGCAGAGAGGAAGTCGTCCTCTCCTTCAGTCGGCCTGAGACAATCAGAGAGATCAGTGAGTATCGACCCGACACATCAGTAAAAACCTGACGATAGCACATCTGATAAAAACTCACAGTAGCGCCGCTTCCTCTTCAGCGGGACGGCGGGCTGATGGTGAAGCTGCAGCCAAACCACAGGAGAATTACATCCTGGTACATTCCCAACACTTAGAAAATAAAATAAAATCTTTTACTGTGTCGCTGCTGCTGCTGCTGTACCTGGTTGTGCTGCCACAGCCACATGACGTCGTAGGGCAGCTGGAAATGAATTCGCTTCAGCCTCAGATACTTTCCTGCACAAGACAAAAGAGGTCTAGGATTCAGCATTCAGTCATTTAAACGCAAAACATGTACAGTCATGGTGCCTCCTTTACATCATAGCCAAGCAAGGACAATAGACACACACAAGAAACTTGGATTAAAAGTTAGAAAAATACAAACATTAATCAGTTTTTTACTATCTGAATCCCAAAACCCACTGGTGGACTTGAAAGACATGTTATATTTTTCAAAAATCGACAAAATTACACAATTTATCAGAGTCAGAAACTGTAAAAGCAGAAAAAAAGATTTGATTTTTAGTTTTTTCGATTGTTTCTAAGTGTATCATGGGTGACGTACAGCTCCATCCCCACAAATGGTCAATAATAAGCTTAAAATCGTGCTATTTTATTAAAATCATTTTATTCTGGTTTCAAATTTGACAAAAATAAACAATTCATTTAACTGGATTCTGTAAAAAAACTAAATGTATGTGCTCTATCAGCATATATGGTCAATAATAAGCTTATTGTTGTGCTATTTTATTAAAATTACTCTTTTCTGGTTTCAAATTTGTCAAAAATAAACAATTAATCTAACAGGATTCTTTAAAAAACTAAAATTTAGGTGCTCGTCAGTGCAACAAAGCAACTATGACTGATTTAGCTTTGACCAAAAGCCACTAAACTAAATAAAAGTAGTAAAAACATAATATATATGATTAGTAAAATATCTACAGTAGCTAGAGCCACCACTAGTTTTTCTAGAAAAATGTATGTATTGAGGGAAATAAATCAAGATATTCAACTTTCATTTGATTTTTAAAAATGTTTTACAGCAATAAAACCGTCACACTGCAGAGAAGACATTTCTGACTTCTCTTTCCTTCTAAACATGGTTTTGCTGTTTCCTTCAAAGTTATATTGCAGTAAAAGATGAGCCCACAGTGAGTAAAAACACGTCAGGAACAAATAAAGCTGCCCAGAAACTGCTTGGAGGTGAGAGCGTTAAAATTATAGTTAAATCAATCAACTAAAACGAGAACAGCTGGGAGTAAAAATTAGAATAAATGAGTCCAGCTTTAAACAGTTTTGCGCGTTATTAAAGGTTGTAGTTGGACAGTGAGTAAAACCAGATCCAAGCTGAGTAAAAAAAGCACCTTTTTAGAATTTATAATTTGAGCATGTTCGGTAAGGGGTTAAAAAAACAGTAAGTTATAAATAAATCCAGCGTCTATGAGGCCTTACAGAGGAGAAGAACCATCCAGCCTCAACAAACATCTCACGGTGACGAGTACAAATTATAACACAGATGATAAACGGCGCCCAAGAGTTGCCACTGATGTATAAAATGTCACCACAATCCATATAGAGTTGCTTCAGTGCAGCAGAAAACATGATTTATTTGTGTAAAAGAAAACCATTTTTCTTCTTAATTTAGTCCCCACATTGGACACGAGATGTTTGAAATGTCAACTTCTCTTCAGATTCACAGATATTTATTATTGTGGAACTTTTTTCAAAATTTGCACCACTCAGCGATGAAACAGTTGTCACAATTGATATTTCTGACTCTGGTGAAGATTATAAATTTAGTTTAACCTGGTTTAACAACGCTTGTTGTGTGCACAGCAGCAGAATGAACAGCATCCACACTAAAGTACAAAACGGTATCATCTGCATAGAGAGGTACGTTACACCCAGATACAGAACAACATCATCTATATAAATGCGGATCAGCACAGGCCCCAGGATCGAGCCTTGTGGGACGCCGTTTGCAACTTCCACATCTTATGATTTTACGTTTTTAAGTTCACAGAAGGCATTTTTAAAGAGTTGCAGTGTTTTTTCTGTCTCTGTGGAAACAGCACAACCATGACCAGAAGGGGAGAGAACATCCGACACTTTTATGTAAAGTGGGTTTCCAGAAGAGAAACTTAAAGGTTTAAAATTCAAAAGGTTATGTAGCCGACTACCCCTGCAGCAGCCAACAACTATTTTCATTGTTTATTATTCTGCTTGGGTAATCGACAAGCTGTTTGGTTTCTTAAAGCCCAAGTTGACAAATGTTGTCGTGTTTTGTCCAAACATATTCAGTTTACGGTCACAGAGGAAAATATTAACGTTCAAGAAGCTGCAACAGAGAATTCAGACTGTTTCTCTAAAAAAACAAATACTTAAACTGAATAATTGATTCTTAAATAGTTGATATTTGTCGCTGAAATTTTAGCAACCAGTTGAATTATTGCACATTCGTTTAAATTTTACCAGGATTAGCACTAATTTATACTCAAACTTTTGTAAATCTGTCATAATAGTAGAAAAAACGTGCCTGTATTGCAGCTTCAAGCCCATGCAGTCACTCATTTTACATTTTATATTTTTAATTAACTGACATTACTTTGTAGAAATGTGTTTTTCACTTTGACATGAAAGCCTTTTTTTTGGTAAATCCTTGTCAAAAGAACGAAATTACACCGACTTCGAAAAGCCATAAAAGTCATTAACAGTTTTTATTGACACTCTATATTCAACACTGAAGCTGTAACGATAAAATTAAATGATTAGTGGTCAACTTAATCAACTATTGTGGTCAGAAATTAGTCAGTTTTGGTAATTTTGTAGTAAAAATAAGTCTTAATTCTCCGTTTGTGGCTTAGCTTATTAAACATCTGGCAGCTACTCTGTTCATGGCTGTGATGTTGAACACACTGACCGACGTGTATGGGCGCCGGCAGCAGGCTGTAGTCGTTGTCTCCCGGCGAATACTCCAAACTCTCTCTGCAGTTCTTCTGGGCTTGGGAAGGCGGTCTAGAAAGTCAAGAATGGGAGAGGATTTACTGCCAAGTGGGTTCTCGCATACAAGGAATCTGACTTCTAGTGCGTAATCATGATATAGATTAACAGACAGTAAACAAACAAACAAAACTGCTGACAAGTAACAGCCTGTTTGTGAACTCACTCTGTGGTTTTGTAGTCGTCAGAGTAAAGGCCGGCCCTCAGGAACTTCTTCCTGGAAGGCCCGTCGGCTCGCTCCTCTCTGTGGACGGCGACCGGCGGCGGCGGGGGCGGAGCCTGAGCCGGATCGGCGTCCGATTGGCTGAAACATTCGGGGAGGGGGTCGCACTCGGGCTTGTCCTCGGCGACGCTGAAAGGAAAGAGAGAGGTAGAATGATAGAGAGGAAAAAGAGAAAGAGAGAAAAGGCACTGGTTTAGCACACAGTGCTGAAAACGGCGGGTTAATGGACCAGCGGCGAGTTGGTTGTATTGGATTGTCAAGTCAACCAGCTCAGGTGTTTTACCTCTGGTGACACGGGGAGTCGCCGTGCTTCCTCTTCCGCCCTCGCTTCCTCTTGGCCTCCAGCTCCGAGTCGCCTCCTCCTCCTCCTCCTACTCGCTCCCTCTCCACCACCAGCCGGTCCTCCCTCCTGCCTCCCGCCTCCCTGCTGCGACCCTGCAGGAGGTCCTGCGTCGGCGGCGCTGCAGGCGGGTGATGCGCCGGCGAGGCTGCGGCATCGGAGGGCAGCGGGTGCTTCCTCGGACGTCCGGGCCTCCTTTTGTTCTTCACTGCCACCATGGCGTCTGGCGCTGGCACACTTTTCTGCTGCCCCCGGCTCCTTGAGTCACCTTGTAAACCTGCAGTCATTGAAACAGAGAACAGGGAGGAGGGAGGAGGAGGAGGAGGAGGAGGAAGGGGGGAGGAGGGGGAGGGAGGAAATGAGACAGATGTGGATCAGCGATTGAGCCGGCAGGAGGTGTGAGGTGAGGCCGGTCTGGGCTGAGTCATGCGGATGGACCACAGATTAGGTGAGTCACATTTCCTCCGACCAGATCGCTGCTGGGAAACGCATTAAAAAGTCATTTATACTCACAGTCGCCTCGGAGGGAAAAAAAAAAAACAGCAAAAGAACGACACAAACACAGCGCGGCGTGCATTCTTTCTGCATGAGCGCGCACACGGTTGTTTGTTTTTGCACAATCAGACCGTGGATGTGTCGCACGGGTCTCGTTTTCCACAAGAAGAAGGAGTTTGTCCCAAAGAACGACTTTTACTCAGATTTAAGGATCCTTGGATGCAATGAGATAAAAGTTAATAATAAAATGATATAATTAACTTTTTTAATAGAGCACTTTTCAAAACACGTTACAAAGTGCTTTCCAATAAAAATAAATTAAATAAAACAAAAATACAATAAGCACACAAATAAAGCAGGAAGCTATAAAACATAAAAGTTAGATAAAATCAGGAAAAGCTCTCTGATGAAAATATGGTTGAAGAGTTAAATTGTGTAAAAAAAAAAAAAAAAAAAGAGAGAAAAAAACCCCCCCAAATATCTGTAAATTACTTATATTTTTAGCTTATTTAAATTTTACAGTCACATATTGTTAGGAAAACTAATTAATGTCTGCAAAAACACAAATTTTTGTAAACTTTTAATGTGTATATCTACAGATTTTCTAGGTGAAAGCTATTTACAGTCTTTACTTTGTTTTATTTTTACTCCATTTTAGGGTAAATCTGAAATTAACTGTTCAAACAAATAATTTCCCCTTTTTTTCCATCCTTAATTTATATTTCTTCTGTCAAATAACATAAATAAAACACGTAAAACAACATGTTTTGTTAATTTAAATATAGTAATAAATAAATAAATGTAAAAGTGTAATTTTCTAGGTAAATGTGTAAAAGAATTCTAAACGTATTCTATTTATTCTCTTTTTCATGAGTCCAGGTCCTGACTGTACACCTTAGTTTTGTCGTACATGCGTGTATAGTGACAATAAAGTATTTTGAATCTTAAAAAAGCACAATTTTTGATGTGTTTTTTTTTTTTTTTTTTATCTTTTAGTTTTTATTCAGAAGAGAGTTTGTTGACATGCAGCCTCCACATGAGCAGAGAAACGGTGAAAAGGAAAAAGATTTGGCTGCAAAGACAAATCACTTGCATGGAAATATTTTGGCTCGAGAAAGGATAAAGTTGTTTAAAAACGCTTCACCACCGCGACGAATCGGTTTAACAGTTTAAAGACAGATTCTGGATTTCTTTGTCTGGTTCCAAATTTTTTATTTTTTTTCCAGCTTTCTTTAAAAAAGTCTTTGATGCAGATTCACTTCTCTGATAAATCAGCCAGTCGTTGTACGATCACTCACTCCTTTCAATTAGTTAATCTGTTTTTTTTCCTTTTTTTTTTTTTCAAAATACATCATCTTTATTTGTCTAAAATCTATATTTTGTGTATATTTCTGTTTGTTTTTGTAGATGTCGGGAGTCAGTTGGTTGAGTTGAGGCTGTAATGATCTAAAAATAAATAAAAAATCAGTAATTCTGTTTTAACACGTTTTTATAAATACAGAATTTTGCACCTATTTTCCAATTTTATTTAAACTATTTTTGCAGACAGATTTTGTCGACCTGCAGGCTTCACGTGTGCTCAGCAAAATGAGCACAGACGCATTGAAAAGGAAGATTTGGTTGCACAAGAGCAGTCTGATTTTCTTTTCTTTTTACATAATTTTCTACTTTTGATACAGATTCAGTCTCCTACACAATCACCCCAATCATTCTACATGAAATTAATCATTTCTAAATAGAGTTATTCAGCTCATCTGGTGGAAAATTCCTGTTTTTTTCAATATATATTGCAGAAAAAACTAAATATTGAAGTGCAAGTTTTTTTTCAACATCACTCAGAGATTGTCCAGAATCTAAAATAGCTTTTATGTGTCATTTTTTTGAAAGTCATTTGCTGAAGATTTCTGCATTTTTTACAATATATGTCACAGTTTTGTGCAGCTGTAGTTATAAACAGTTTAGCATAATGTCATTTCCCCCCATTTTTTAGTGTTTGCTGTTGAACATATTCATATTTATTCATCTTTAAAAAGTATTATGTTGTGATTCATTTGTTCTTGGAGACGTAGACGTCCTGGTTGGGTGGAAAAGATGACGGACGTCACTTCATAAATCATATTTTCACAAACCTTCTCATTGTGTCCAGCCACCATTACTCTCATAATGCTGCACCTGTTTTCTTTTTTAAAACTTCACTTGAACAACACTGAGTTTGTTGACCTGCAGGCTGCACAGAAACGCTTCAGAACGGAGGAGCTGGTTGCAGAAATAAATCAGCTTTTCTGAAATTGCTCCAGTCGTTGTAAATAGAACGATAAATCAAGTCATCTGCTGAAAATTCCTGCATGTTTTTTTAATTTATGTCGAAATTCTGTGCAGAACTAATATCCATCAGGGACCAGATTAAGTTTCTGGTTGTATAATTTTGCACCTTTTTCCCAATTTTTACATTTATAAATCTTATTTTAAAGACAGATGTTTTTTCTGACCTGCATGTTTTAACACCTGCACAGCAAAATAAGCAACAACAGGAGAGGAATGCTGCAAACTGAATCGATTGCATGCTAATATTTCATAAAATCTAACCATAAACAGCTTCTCTTAGCAGCGGATTGCAGTTTTTGCCACCACACGATGCAACACGACCATTTAAATCTGTGCAAATGCGAAGTATTTAGATTTCTTTCCTGGGATGTAAATGTTTTTTTTCAAGCCATCTTGTGAAAATGCACATCTTTTTTTTTAAGTATTTTGCAGAAAATCTAAATGTTTTGTCACTTTCGTCCACTACCATGCAGCTCTGCTTTGTTTTGCTGAAAGGCTCCAGACGCCTTCCTTCGCCCCTGTCCTGACCTCTGGGCCGCTTCTTCATCCATCTCCCCTGAGCTCATCTATCTTTTTGTTCCATTTTCCACAGCCCCTGACAACACTGACCACTCTTTCCTTATTGGATTTTTCCAAGTCAAATAGGCCTCGTTGGCCGGCAGCAGTGAGGAATCGGCCGAAGCTTTAAATAGCCGATCTGGTGGTTAACTAATGACTGTGTTCGCTGAGTCGCCCTGGGCTGCAGCAGCGCGCGGTTCGCTGCAGACCAGGAAGATTTCAAAGATTTTCTGGCAGATTCCCATCAAGACGCTGCCCTCCTGCTGTAACACTTCTTAAAAATTCCTGCAGAGAGCCGCTGCAGAGCGTGTTTGTCGGGCGCAGCGGAGCGAGGGAGGCTGAAAATTCAGCTATAAAAAGAAAAGGAGTCTGATTTCCTCTCCGACGCCCTCCAGGCTTTGATGTGTGGCTCAACAACACCTGAGAAAAAAGCAACGCTGTCACTATATCGGGCAAACTACTGGCGCCACGGTTTCATCTCCACATTGTGCAAATATAAAAATCTGTCATACTGTGCAAAGTGAAAAGAGGCTCTTGGCATAAAACCGATTCACTCAGCCAGCTGTCAGCGTTCGCTCGCTGCTGTCATCTTTCACTGGTGGGCACCGTTAATGTTAGACTCCCCGTCCTACTGTATATTAGAGCTGCACGACGCTGGTTTTCTGAGATATATGTATCGAAAAAAACATTTGGCTTTGCACTCAGCATGCAGAGTTTAGAGGCCGAAAGAAATTTGCTTTGGGAGTCCTGAGTAGAGGAAGCGACACAGACAGTCAGAGGTTTCCACTATTCGAAGCATTTTTCTTAAAGTGTTGCATTTAAAAAAGCTTCTGATCCCTGACCGTCCACAGAGGCTCTGTATGAAATGTAATTTTTAGTTTTAAAACAGGAATTCTCACTCGTCGACTTGCTCTGGACGAGATGTGCGTTGGGCTTTGCACTCGGCATGCAGAGCTTTGCGGTTCCTCGGGAAAGCCACGAGAAATTTGCTGAGAGCCCAGAGAGCAGGGAAAAACTACCCAGACAGAGTAAAATCTGATTTTTCCGCCGCTCGCAGCATCTTTTTGTTCAGTGTTACACGTCAAAGCGACCAGATGCACTTTGTTCCAAACTGACCGCACAAAGTCGAGAAAAAACGTTTTTTTTTTGTCTGCAAACTATGTCGACAGAATCCAAGAATTTCCACCAGATGACTTGAAGAACTCCTCCTGAAGGCAGCTGTAGGTGCTGATTTCTCAACTTTCTTCCACAAAACATTCATAATAGCTGCAAAATGAATAAGCTAAGATACCAGTTTGATTTTATTTATAGAACATAAATATGTGCAGTAGTTCATATTTTCATCTCTCAGGTGAAACATCTCTCGTTCATGTACAACCGAGTCAATGTGAAGGACAACATTTGTATTTTCTTCTTGTTTTTCAGGTGCAATATTTCAATATGTACACATGTGACATTACTTATGGCCTCCGTGTAATCACCAGTATTACTTTTACTTTTACTGTTCTGTTCTGCTCTACTGCTGTTGTCGTTTCTTATCTTTTTGCTTTTCTACTTTTTAGGCACTGCAGTTCTCATGTTATGTAATTTCTTTTTGAGCAATATCTGGCCTAAATAATAAAGTTTTATCTTTATCTTATCCTAAAATAATCCAGTACATGCACAAACACGCACTGCTTAATCCTCACAGTGTTTCCTCAACAAAAAAAAAATCTATTTCAGAAATAAAAATCCACATCAACATTTTAAATTTAAATATTTACTAATATTTTTAACACAAGATACTGAAAAATAACTGATATCGCCATATTGGAGAGTAAAAAACAGGGATTTTTAAAAAGATTTTTAGCAGAGAACTTCAAAAATTGCGATTTTGGTGATTTTATAGTTGAGTGTATCTGAAACAACAACAAAAATAGTTTTAAAAAACTGTTTAGAACCTTTATTAACATGCAAAATGATTTTTTGCTTATTTACTTCTGGCTTTGCACTTGTCATAAAGAGGTTTGTGCTGCTGACTGACTGCAGAAATCCATTTCTTTCTTTAGCTGAACTATTTTCATGCAACTGATTTATTTTTTTTTGCAACCAAATCCTCCTTTTCAGTGTTTCACATGTGGAGGTCAACAAACTCTGAGTCTGGTGAATGAAGTTTTAAAAAAGAAAACCTCGGTGCATCCAAGAACTCTTAAATCAGAGTAAACGATGTTCTGTCAGAAAGACTTTTCCTGTCGATCAGTCACGGAAAATGAAAACGGTGTCAGTTTAGTTTTTGTAGCAAGCAGCGAAAAAAAAAAAAAAGGTTGTGATGTGTTTGAGCTGATTTGTTCTTTTCACAATGTTGATGCTGAAACGATTTATTCTGCAGCACTGGTTTACTGGTCTTCTTCTTCTTCTTTTTAACAGGACAACCGTACAGCCAGAGAAATACTATCATGCTGACTGTTTTTGTTTCACTACTAATTAATTTACACGACTAATCGATTAGTTGTTTGGTCAGAAGATAGTGAAAAATGTGCTCAACGTCCAAACATGACAAATGTCTTGTTTTGTCCAAAGATATTCAGTTGACTGTCATAGAGGAGGAAAGAAACCAGAAACTACTAATATTTATAAAGAAGAAGAAAGAAATTACGACTTTTTTTAATTTAAAAATGACTCAAACTGATTAATTTATTCGTTAAATCAGACGTTTGGTCTTTGAAAATGGTTAAAAACGTCAACCAAAGTCTCAAAATGACATCCTTAGATACTCAAATTTAAACATTTTTCTTACTAGTTTTGAGAGACTTTTTTCCGTATAACGTGGCTCATAGATTATCAAAAGAGTTGGTGATAAATTTAATCGATCAATCGTTGCAGCGCTGATGAAAACAGCAGTGAATGAATGAATGAATGAAGCAGCAGATGATTCCTCACCTGTGTCTCTCCTCTCCGTCCACGCCGGTTCGTCCCTCCTCCACGACCTCTCTCCACTTCCTGGATTCCTCCCGGCCAATCCGCTCCTCAGACCCCTCCCCACCGTCGTCATGGCGGCGGACGTGAACAGGTTGGTGTGCGTCGGTGACGGCGACGCCCTGTACTGGTCGTCATCCCCATCTTCGTCCTCCCCGTCGGACGCGATCAGCCTGGCCGGGTGCTGCTCAGCGCTGAAGCCTCTCCAGCCGGGGTTTCCGAATCTCGCTCCTCCCAGGCCGCCGAATTTGGACCAGCTCTGGCCCAGGCCGCCCCAGCCGCCGCCGAACGAGGACAGGTGGGAGGAGCCGAGCCCCAGCGAGGTGAGGGATGTGTGTTTGTACCTCTCTGCTGAGGAGGAGGAAGATGAAGCAGTGGCGGTGGAGAACGAGTCATTCCCGTTCTCACATAGCCACGGCGACTCCTTCGACAGCAGACTCCCGGCTCCTCTCGCCCCTTTCCTTCCTCCTTCCTGCCCCAGAATGAACCCCGACCTGGGCTTTAACCCAGCCAGCCCCTCCCGCTCCACCACGTCCTCCTCGTCGTCCTGTTCCTCGTCGTCGTCCACGTCTCGCTCGCAGTGCCGGTGGCGATGCTTATGCTTGTGTTTGTGTTCGTTCCTCCCGCAGCCACAGGAGAGGCTGGATGTGAACCCTGAGCTGAGGTGAGGACCTCCTCCGCTTCCTCCACCTCCGCCGCCGCCGTCTCCTTCGACATCCCCTCCTAGAGCCCCCTCCCTCAGCAGCCGGCTCCTCCGTCGGTGGAACCTTGCTGGGTTGAGGAGGAAGTGGTGGGGCTGGTGTGGGGCATAGGATGGCAGCGGGTAGGAGCTGGGCAGGTGGTGGTAAAGCGTCGTGGCCGGAGGGTAGCCGCTGTAGAAGCCCATGTTCTCGATGGTCTCCTGGAACTTCGAGGGGCAGCCACACTGTCGGCGGTCTGGCTTCCTGCTACAGTGGCAGGGGTAAAAAGGCTGCGGCGAGAAGGAGGGATTGGTGGAGAAGGACGACGGGTGAGGCGAGTAGAAGCCGTTGAGATTGATCCTGAAGATGTTGGAGCGCAGCGAATGAGAGGAGGCGGAGGTGGAGGAAGTGTGGTGTCTCCTTCCTGCAGGTGGGTTCCCATCGAAGCCCTGTCCGAGGCCCGTCCGAGCCCAGCTCCGCCTACCGATGTGGACCTCGCTGAACTGACCGATCAGATCCTCCAGCTCGGCCAGGAACTCCGGATCCTGCATGTGGAGCTGCTGGTGCTTCTTCTTGTGTTTGTTTTTCTGCCTCTTCAGTGCATTGTGCCCCATGCAGGGGTAATAGTCCGAATGGGGGCACTTGCTGTGTCCGGGACAGGGGCAGGGGCACAGGCAGGCGCAGGACGAGGGGCAGTCGTAATCCCTGCGCCGGTGCCGGTGTCGCCGCTCCACGGCGGTCGGGGTAGTCATGGGGTTCCTGTGTCTGGACATGTGGGAGAGGGGTGAGGAGACCGGGGAGGGTCGGTCCACCAGAGAGGGGTGTCTCTGGCCCCCCAGAATCACCCCGGACCCCTGACCCAGCCTCAGCATACCCCGGGCTCCCCTCATCTCCCCTCGCTCGGAGACGCTGTTGTTGTCCGTCCCGATGCCGCTGTCGCTCGGCAGCGTCTCCTCGCTGTGGGACTCGCTCCGGGGGGAGGGCGTGGCCTCCTTCAGGTGGCCGGGGGAGCCGGGTGGGTGATGCAGCGGAGGGGTGGGGCAGGAGAGCTTACATGAAGACTGGTGGAAGGGGAAGTGGTGCCTCCCCTGACATGGGCAGCTTTTCTTCACGAAGGGGGAGATGGAGGATGAGGAAGGAGGCCGGGGGGAGGTGCAGGAGGAGGACGGGGAAGGCAGGGAGAAGGGGTGAGGAAAAAGGAGGGACGGCGCCGGTTCTGTGAGGCTGCCTTCGCTGTAGGGACTCTGGGCGCCGCTGGAGTGGGTGAGGGACGGGGAGGGAAAGGGGTGAGAGGGAGGCTGGGGTTGAAAGAGGGAGGTTTCGGAGGTGTTGGAGAACAGGGAGGAGCTCTGTGAGTTCAGGTTGGCGGTTTGCGATTTGGGTTTGCGTCCTCGTCTCTTGCCCATATAGATGGTTCCTCTCTTGCTCACATTGATCTGAGGACCCAGTTTGCTCCCGAAAGAGGACGACAGGGCCGAGAGCGTGTGCACCGTCGTAGCCTCTATCGATTTACACATTCTCAGAGAGGCCTCGCCATCTGCCGCCTCCCCCCCTCTTACCTCCTTCCCCGCAAACCCCGACAGCATCACTTTGTGGAGCCTCCTCTTCTTTCGTTTTTTCATCTCGTTAATCAGCCTCTGGATCTTCAGCTGCCTGGTTCCCTTCTCGGGAGGATGGAAGTCCGGACTCCGGTCTCCCTGATCATCTCCGCTCTGGTCCTCGGGGACCCTTGGTTTCGGGGGACGTCCACGCTTCTTGGGGCTGGATTTGGACGCTGGACTTGGCTCCAGCATGGGGGCTTTCTGGACTCCGTCGCACCCCAGAGGAGGCACCTCGGTCGGGGTGTTGCTCGGCGAGAGTCGAAGGGGAGGCTCGTCCAAACTGGAACCGTGGGATTTGGGGCGCCCCCTTTTTCGGCCGGCGCTCACGGAGTCTGACGCCGGGTGAATCTGAGGTTTGGTTGCAGAAGAAAGAGGGGAGGAGCTGCTGGTTAAGGACTCGTCGCTCTGCTGGATAGTGGCTTTGGCAGGGAGGGGCGTCTTGGGGTTCTGTTGGTAACTCAGTGCAGGATTATGCAGGGAATCTGAAGGGGCTTCCTGATTTTCCGCCCTCGGAGCCCGGTGCGCCAGCTTAGTCCAGCTGGGCCTCCTGGCTTTGCGTTTCTTGAGCGGCCGGCTGTCCTGCTCTTGGGGGGAGGACGGGGGAGATATGGGGGCAGAAGGCATGGGAGGGGCAGAAGACGAGGGGTGGCTCGGAGGCACAGTTGAATGTCTCGACACGTCCTGTTCTTTTGATTTACTGGCGTCACCTGTTGCTGCCGCTGCTGGCTCAGCTTGTTTTGCTGGCTTGCAACTGTCATCCATCTTTTCTTTCTCGTCTGGATTCGCCACCAGTCTATCAGCTGTTTCGCCACATTTTGCATTATTATCCTCCGTTCTTTGCCTCTCCGGACTGAGCCTCTTTTTCTCAGCCTTTCCTCTGTCGATCTTTGCTTCGTCCCTCCACAAATCTTCACTCCTACGCCTCTCCTCCTTTTCTTTACCGTGTCTCGATTTTCCATCCTTTCCCTTCTCCTTTTTCTTCTTTTTTACTTCGTCCTTCCTGCTCTCACTTTTTGCCCTGTCAGCCTCCAGTCTTTCTTTCTTTGACTTCTTGTCTTTCCGCTTCTCCTTCTTTGCTTTCCTATCCTTCTCTCTTTTCTTTTCTAGGGAGGCATCCTGACTTTGAGGTTGGGCAGAAGGGAGATCCACAGCGGGGGAGGATTGTGGTTTGGAGGTGACCAAGGGAGAGTCTGGCCTGCTCTTAGTGGAAAGTTCTTTATGGGAGCTCGCGGAGACCGGAGGCCTCGTCGAAGACTCCGTGGAAGAAACGGAGGAGGAGCTGCTGTGTTTCCCAGCTTTGCTTTTAGATGCGGTGGAAGTGCCGAGGATGCTGGCAGAGCCCTTCCCGTTCGGTAACCCCTTCTGTTTTTGCACCAAACCATTATGTTTCTTGGAGGTGCTTCCGTCGTTCCTGGTTTCCAAAGCGGAGGCGGCCTGGACGCACGGGCCGGAAGCTGGAGCCGGCTGGTCTGTCTTGGGCGAGCAGGGCTTCGGAGCTGCAGCGACGGGCTGGCCGTTGACGCTCGGAGGCTTCTTCGCCCTCTCCGACGAGCCGTTCGAATTCACCTCCGTCTTATCGGCCGGCTTGATAGGAACCTGGAGAATGCAAACATCTCGGTCACAACAGTGAAGGACAAACGGGCAAAGAGGCGGTGGCAGCTTTTGTTATTGCCCGCCCCATTAAAAGAGAGGATAAAATGACTCAATCAGGCAGAGAAACGAGGGCATACGGAGGAGAGAGTGAGGTGATGGAAACAGGAATGGGGTTGACACAGAAAGGAGAGCTACAAAGGCGAAGAGAAGCCGAGAGGAAAGCAGTGGGACAGAGGGGGAGTGAAAGATAAATGAGAGCAGGTAGAGAAAAGAGGGGAAGTAAAAATAGAAGAGAGGGACCGATATAGAGAGGCAGGCAGAGACAGAAACAGAGGGAGAAGGCTTTGCTATTGGTAGCTATAAATTGCCACTAATACAGATGAGAAGGCTTGACATTTCATACTTGTTCTGTAATTTTGGTGCGCTGCAGCCTGAGTGGCGTTTGTGCAGCTAAAGCCATAAGCTTCTCCTTGGGTGATTGTCATGAGGACTGATGGACCAATGTCTGCAATAACTCCAAGTGGTTGCCGTGCTGTCGTCCTATTTATAGGTCTGTTTATTCAAATGTGTTGCTTGGCTTTCAGTATTGAGAGAATCGCTCATTTGGCCGTATTAGAACTGAGCTCAAAGCTGGGAGATTTTTTTACACCGTCTATAAGCCTGCTGGTTAACTGTAAAAAAAACAAAACAGCTAGAGCACATATGTGCCATTAATAATGTATGAACACATTCAGCCAGTGCAACTCTCAGGTTTGATGTTTTTCTCCATTTTAACTTCATTTAACGGCAAATTTAACCCTCTACACCCCAAAACCAGGCTTGAAAGACATGTTATCTTTTTTAAAAAACCCTGAAAAATTACATAATTTATCATCTAGAAACTGTAAAAACTGAGCAGATCTTCATATTTTCGACCTTACAGCAACCTTTAAACATATTATGAACTGAAAATAGCCAAACTTTCACTTTAACTGTAATATTTCATCAAAATCACTCAATTAAAATGCTCCAAAATGAAGCATTTGGTTTCAAAGTGAACTGCAGGCAGTGTTTCTACAGAGGAAAATAAAACACGTTGGATTGATAAAATAAATGCAGCATGTTGGAAGATACACTCAGCATGGTGAAACAGCTTTATAGTTGTTTAAAGAGCATGTTATTTTTTGAAAAAAACTGCCCAAATGAAACTATTTATCAGCAACAGAATCGTTAGATTTTCAGCTTTCCTTAAATTAATCGTGTTATTTTGGTGTTTGTTGCAAAGATTTACCAAATTAAAGCTTAAAATCACAATATTTCATCAAAATAACTTCATTCTACATGTCTCATTTTAAAAAATAGCCCAAAATAAACTATTTACACTAATCACCATTCTGTAAATAATAAAGAAAATCTCCGCTCCTTGATGCAACTGACAAGTCATCAGTGACTCAGCTTTTTTTTTTTTTAGACAGTTTTCTGCTGAACTGCAGGCCGTGTTTGTACAGAGCAGAGAGGACACGAGTATGAAAACATGTTAAAAATATAAAGAGTAAAATATCTATAATATAGAGAGTTGCCATTTGTTTTCCCAGTATTGGTAATACATGCTAATTCCATTTTGTTTTTCAAATTTAGTAAAATAAATAATCACAGAAATGCAACTTTTCTTCTTATTTTTCTGATTTACGTTCTCTGTCATGGTTTTGCTGTTCCCACAGAGATGAGAAGACAAATAGGAGCAGAGTGAGGAAAAATGTGGAGCTGCTCAGAGGGTTGATAAGCTGACGTAAGGAGAGGGGTCCGTAAACTGACCTGTTTGGCAGACTTGGTGCCCTGGCTGGTGACAGCGGGGACCGAAGCCGGGGTGGAAGCTGTGGCGAACGTTGACGATAATGACTGCGATGACGAAGGTGGTGCGAGCGGCGTCGAAGCAGCAGATGCAGTTTGTTTGGATGTGGTCTGGACAGCGTCCAAGCCCGAGCGCTGCTCTCTGGCTGCCTCATCCTGGCCGGAGCCGGCTTTGCTCTGCTGGCCTCCGTCTCCGTCGGCCCTCAGCAGCAGCCCCCTGCCCTGCCGCTGGTACGTCCTGATGGTAGGCTTGCAGACGTAGCTCTCCAGGATCTTGGGCGGCTTCTTGGTGCGTTTGGCCTGCAGCCCGATGCGGACTCGTACGTTCCCCTCGGGGCAGCTGGCCTCCCGGCCGGGGATCTGCTGCCCCCCACATCGCCCCTCGATGAGCAGCTCCAGCACTGCCCCCTTGTCGCCTTCCCGCTTCCTCCCCGCTCCTCTTTTCTCCTCCTCCTTCTTCCCCACGTCGCCATTCTCCCCCTCGCCTCTCCTCTTCTTCTCCCCCACCGGTTCAGAGTCCTCAGGTGCAGGGGCGGGGTCCAGAGTGGAGGCTGTGGTTGGAGGGGTTCCCCCCTTCACTCTCTGGTCCATCAGAGGAGTCAGGGGGGAGAGGTCGGCAGCTGTGGGGTTCCCAGTATCACTCTGTCAAACGGGGTTGGAGGTGAGGAGCAGAGTGCAGGTGTAGATCAGGAAAAAAGTCCAGCTAGGTGCCTTCATCCAGCGAGGGAAGCTCGGTGTGTCGTCCCGTCGGCTCGAGCTGAGGCAGAAACAGACAGACAGAGCAGCGATTAGTCATTTCAGTGAGCTCAGATGCTGAGCAGCAGCAGCAGCAACGCAGGATTTGAGGGGAAAGTCCCCGTCCTGCCCGAGAGGTGCTAAAGTCTGTGTCCACGGAGATGATCTCATCACACAGAAAACCCCGGGGGCCAATCAAAGTCGCCGATTCCCAGAAGAAAGACTCACCGAGAACACAGCTTCTTTCCTCTGTAAATAACGGCAGATCTGACGCCGAACCTCTGCACTCCTAATCCTCGCTGCGCCTCTTGCCAAATCAATATATCAATCAATCAGCTCCTGACTAATTCAAACACTTGATCCAGTCCCCTCCCCTCCTCTCCCCAGTGTCTTTGCGCCTTCTGTTCTCAGCTACTCCCACAAGCTCTTCTCCTCCCACCCTTCCCGCTGCTGTACTTTCTTTTCTCTCCCAAACTCCCCTTTTCATGTTTGGCAGTAAGCTTTTGCATGCATTCTCTATTAGTCCCATCCACTCCCTCCCTCCCTCCCTCCCTCCCTCTGCCTCTCTCTGTAGACCACACAGTAAAAATGGTCAACTCATGCACTGTATCGATGTTAATCAGAACCATATTTCCTCCTCCACGTCGTTCTTTTCCTCCTCTCCAGCCTAAATCCCTCCATTCACTGTGCAACCGTTCCCCTCCTCCCCTTCCAGTAGTGGTAACACAAATCCGTAGGAAAGGGTAAAACTTATTTTTGGAAAGGAGTGCAAATTCCTCCTCCTCCCATTGCTTCCTCTAAGTCAAGTAAGCTTTTCATTGACCCCATTGTAAATGGACTTTTAATGTGACATTACAGCACAGCAACACACCCTGAAATAACATTCTCCTCCCCGGGAAAACTTTCGCCGCGTTATCGAAGGGAATCTTCCGTCACGCTTCCTTCATTATTCTCCCTCTCTCATTATCCGTTTTCTAATAAAACACACCCTGCCAAGCGTCCTCGCCGCTCGCTCGCTCTCCCTCCCCAGAGCCTCTTATGAAATAGCTCGTCTGTCTCTCAACGCCGCCCGCTTAAACATACAAGAGCATCTCGGATAATGTTTTCGTTTAAGAGCTCAGTGGGCTATCTCCGCTGCCTCTCGGTCCCTCCACACCCAAAAGCCTTTCCTTGACTCATACCGAGCTCAAATCAACATCTGTTCCAGTAACGGCTCTTATGTAACAGTTTTGGAAAAGCGTTTTCGGAGGCCAAACCTCCTCACAATGAAGCAGAATGAGCACAGAGATGGACAGTGGTCCGCTCAGACGACTGCAGCCACTTTTAGTACGACCTCTACTCCACAAGAGGATTCAGGCTCGAGCAGCAGCAGCAGCAGCAGCAGTCGGCCGGTTTTTATAGCGGCGGCCAGGCCTGCAACTAATGATTGCTTCCTCTATTAATCTGTTCGCTGTTTGGTCTATAAAAGGTCAGAAAACGTGATGACAAATGTCTTGTTTTGTTCACAACCCAAAGAAATTAGGTTTACTATCATAGCGCAGCAAAGAAACCAGAATATATTCACATTTAAGACTTTTCTTTTTACTTAAAAACAGACTTAAACTAATTTCTTACTGCAGCTGTAATAAATACAACAAATACAAGCAGCCAGTCCTCGATGATAAACATGTTAGCTATAAACCTTACGACAATTTATGCACAAGCTTGTTTACAGATGAGTTCTTAAAGTTGTCTACTGTTAATTTAACCTCCAACCATTTCAACAATCAGTCAGTTTGAGCTTAATTCTCTGAGTGCAGCTACTTAAATGTGAATATTAAAATAATATCTGAATAACTTCAGAGCTAAAAAACAGACTTTTTGCCAAACAACTAGGCAGCATCTACTTAAACTGAATAATTCGCCATCAAAACAGTTGGTAGCTAATTTCACAGCTGATGACTTATTGATTAATCAATTAGTCGTTGCAGTTCTAATGCATAACAAAGACAAGCAGCTAATACTCGATTAGTCCACATCAGATTTACATAAATTGGAGTGTAAACAAGTCGCGAAGCTGGTAAATTTCTACTGCTTGTTAATAGAGGTGCGATGAATAATCGATTACTCGTCAACTAATTATACTGCCTGAAGAAAAATGGTTCCAAAAAGGTTCTGCCAGGAAAACAGTAGTTACTGGATGAACAGTGCCATTAGAAAGTATTCTTGGAGGTTTTCTGCTTTCATTGCTTTTCAACAAGGAATCATGGTCAATTTAGTTTGGCTTTTTGGACAAAAAAATTACCCCACTTTATGTCAAAGTGAAAACTGATTTCTGCAAAGTCATACCAATTAATTTAAAGATAACTCTGTGTCATGGTTATTAAAAAGCATAAACAAGGGGATGGATACAAGAACAAACACACTATCCCCGTCATGAAGCACGGTGGTGGCAGCATCATAATGTGAAGCACGGTGGTGGCAGCATCAGGATGTGAAACACGGTGGTGGCAGCATCATGATGTGAAGCACGGTGGTGGCAGCGTCATGATGTGAAATATGGTGGTGGCATCATGGTGTGAAGCACGGTGCTGGCAGCATCATGATGTGAAGCATGGTGCTGGCAGCATCATGATGTGGGGATACTTCTCTGCAAGACTTGCAAAGGTAAAATGAGTGCTACTCCAGGAGGATAAAATGATATCGACTGGATCAGTGTTTAAAAGCAATAAAAGGAAAAGCTTCCAAGCGGGGTGAAAACTTTGCGTAGGCAACTGTAGTTCTATGTGTGCAGCCCTCTAATGGCCTTCTCTGTTATTTTAAGTCCGTGGTGCCCCTGTGGTATTCACAGTGTGAGTATGGTAAAAAATATTTGATATTTTAATATCTACAAAAAATAGTTATAACAACTAGATTTCAAGGTCCACCTACAAACAGAGCCTTTGGATGAGGTAACTATGCAGGACTTGTTCTAAGGCCATCCATCCCTGGCACCATGTGAGGATTTATGGTACAAGATAGCTGCAATAGTAAAAAAAAAAAAAAGTTTGTACAACTAGATTTCATGTTTCATCAACAAGACGGAGCCTCGGGATGAGGTTACGACACATAACCCTTAGCATGACCCTTAACATTTAGCCTTCAGTGTTTCTGGCACCATGTGAGGATAATATCACCAAAAAAATAAAGTTTTTACAACAATTGAATGTTAAAAACAACTAGATTGTAAATACCATCTACAAGACAGAGTCTCGAGATGAGGTAAGGATGCAGATCATGTTATAAGACCCATAACATTTAGTTTAAAGTGTCTATGGCCTCTCTTGGCTTTGTTTCTGGTACCATGTAAGGCTTAACATCCACAAAAAAAATTGTTTTAACAACTAGATTCCAGGTTCTATATAAAAAACAAAGCCTTCTGATGCAGGAAGGATGCAGGACTTGTTCTAAGACCCTTAAAACTTGATCTAAGTATCCATGTTCCCCCTTGGCTTCATCTTTGGCACCACGTAAGGATAATATTACCCAAAAAACTACAATTTTTACAACTACATTTCAGATTCTATACAACTACAAAAAAACAGAGCCTAAGGATGAGGTAACTATGCAGGATTTGTTGTAGGATCCTCAACATTTAGTTTAATATCCACAGTTTTTATAGCTAGATTTCAGGTTCCATCTACAAGTCAGAGGGTCAGGATGAGGTTACCATGCTTGACCCTGAGCATGACATTTGGCATTTCATCTGAGGTATCCGTGGCTCAGTCCCAGGTGCAATGTGAGGAAAATTTCACCCCCAAAATAATCATTTCACTAACCACGTATGGCTTATACCTACAGAAATATTTAGTTTTAACAACTGGATAATAGGTTCAACAAGGTTCGACAAGACAGAGACTCAAAGGGTCTTGAGGTTACCATGCATGACCCTTAGCATTTCACCTGAGGTGTCCGTGGCCCTTTCTTGGCTACGTCTCATCATGTAAGGATAATATTACCCCAAAATTAAGTTTTTACAACCAGATAACAGGTTCTATCTACAAGACAGAACTTTAGGATGAGGTAACTATGCAGGACTTGTTATGAGGCCCTTAAAATTTGGTCTCAGATGTCTCCCGTTGACTTCATCCTTGGCCCTGTATAAGAACAACATTACTAAAATATTGTTTTTACAACTAGATTTCAGGTTCTGTCTACAGTAGAGCTACTGCAATAGTCCCAGGATGACGTAACTATGCAGGCTTTGTTATGGGATCCTCAACATTTAGTTCAATATTCACAAAAAATAAAGTTTTTACAACTAGATTTCAGGTTCTGTCTACAAGTCAGAGTCAGGATGAGGTTACAATGCATGACCCTTAACATTTAGTCTGAGGTGTCCGTGGCACCATGTAGTGATAGTATTACCCCAGAATTAGGTTTTTACAACCACATTACAGGTTCTATCTACAAGACAGAACTTTAGGATGAGGACACAACGCAGGACTTGTTATAGGGCCTTAAAATTTGGTCTCAGGTGTCTATGGCCCCCTTTGGCTTCATTGTTGGCACTGTATAAGAATAACATTGCTAAAGTGTTGTTTTTACAGCTAGATTTCAGGTTCCGTCTACAAGTCAGAGTGTCAGGATGAGGATACAATGCATGACCCTTAGCATTTCACCTGAGGTGTCCGTGGCCCTTTCTTGGCTACGTCTCTGGCATCACGTCAGGATAACACTACCCCAAATCAAGTTTTTACAACCAGATTACAGGTTCTATCTACAAGACAGAACTTTAGGACGAGGTCACTATGCAGGACTTGTTATAGGGCCCCTAAAATTTGGTCCTTGGTGTCTGTGGCCCCTGTTGGCTTCATCCTTGGCACTGTATAAGAATAACATTGCTAAAGTGTTGTTTTTACAACTAGATTTCAGGCTCTATCTACAGTAGAGCTACTGCAATAGTCCCAGGATGAGGTCACTATGCAGGACTTGTTATAGGGCCTTAAAATTTGGTCCCAGGTGTCTCCCGTTGGCTTCATCCTTGGCACTGTATAAGATTAACTTGCTAAAATATAGTTTTTACAACTAGAATTCCAGGTTTATCTACAATAGAGCTACTACAACAGCACCAGGATGAGGCAACTATCCAGGACTTGTTATAGGCCCCTAACATTTAGTCCAAGGTGCCCCCGTTCCCCCCTCTGGCTCCGTCCCTGGGCCTGAGTAAAGAACTGAGTCATGTGGGCTCCAGTCTTGTTGTGAAAAGTGACTATAAGAAGGGAAGCAGAGTGGCAGGTTTTCAAACTTAAAAGGGCAGGCCCATTCAGCAGCAGTCAGAGCGCATACTAATAGCTCTTTATACTCCGCAGAGCCGAACCTCTCCGACATAACTCAGAATTATTCTAACATTAGACCAGCAGCTATTTCCAGTGACAGGATGATGGGTGGACTTGACACCGCAGTCGGTGTGGTTCCTCGGGAGCGATTAAATCATGATAATGGCCCACCATATTTCCAGCCATCATCACCATCCCGTGACAGTGTCCTCATCAATAACTACAACACCATTACCGTCTGCCTGACAACAGCAGCAGCAGCAGCAGCTGGAAGCGCCGCTGCACTGATGGCATCTCACATTATCCGAGCGTGAAGCCTCGCAGTGCGCGCAGCCACATATACAGGCAACTTTCTCACGTGAGTCTCCTCCTCCTCCTGCTCCTCACGCACACACTCGCCTGTTGTTGTGTGTGTTGTGAGCGTCGTACATTGTGTACCCGGGTCGCAGCTGCGTAGATACAGTAGATACAGTAAAGCAGTGGGGGTGTTACCGCACTGGTTTACTGAGGACGTCAACAGGAGCTTCCTTCTCCATAATGACTTTGCGCACCTCGGAAAATCACTATCCGCCCGCAGAGGATGCGCACATGCACGTGTTGTTGTTGTCCTATGTGCGCATTAAGACAAAAACGCACATTCACGCGTCGTACAAGAGAAAAAAAATATCCAAACTCATGGAGGCGGGAGGCTGCGCAGCAACCAAAAAAAAAAAAAAAAAAACGCACATTCACGCGTCGTACAAGAGAAAAAAAATATCCAAACTCATGGAGGCGGGAGGCTGCGCAGCAACCAAAAAAAAAAAAAAAAAAACCGTGATTCCTGCTGGTGTGGATGAGCCACCTTCTCCTCTCCGTCCTCTGCCTTCTGCTGCTGTCAGCAACACTCGAATAAGAAATATCGCCGCGCACGGAAACACACTCGGCAACAAGGGGATAAAATTAGCGCAAAAGCAAAAGCAACGCGGATGCACAACATTTCCTCGCTGCGCTTCGCTTCTTTTTTTTTTTTTGCGCCCGCTGACAGGCCTGCACACATTAATACAGACTGCCATGACAATCTGTAATAAGGCTACGTAGGCTACTTACCCGAGAGCGCGTCCCGGAGCCAACTGGCAGGAGGTGAAGGTGTTGCTGTCCTGCTCTCCGCGGCTTCTGGTGCATTAGATGCCGCTTTTTGGTTACATAACTAAGGCCGGCGGAGGTTAAAACGGCTCCTAAAAGCGAGTTTCGGTGCCATCGGAGCGCAGCGGCGACTGTGCAACAACATTGGCGCGGGTGTTTTCATAATCACTCAGTCGACGGAGCTGCTCCGTCGGCGCGTCTCCGCAGCTAGGTGGCGGACTGGTTACACTGGATCCTGTTTTTTTTTTTTTTTTTTTTCCCCTTGTTCTTTTTTTTTGCCCACTTTCTCTGGGGGAAAGTTACAGCAGCTCCCGCTCAGTTGTAAATGCCTCAAAATGTGCTCCGGTCAGGCGCTGCAGGAGCGACGGCTGCGGCTGCGTGTCCGTGCGCCCTCGTGGATGTGCGGGAATGCAACTGCGTGGCCATTTTCGTGTTGTGGCCAGAGGAGGAGATAGAAAACGGCGAACGCAGCACAGCACAGGATCTCATTGCGGTTCGTAATAGGCGATTGGGGAGGGCTATTTAGGCGCTTAATAAAATGGCGACGACTTGGCTAAAGTGGGCCGCTGGAAGGATTTTTTAGGGAGCCGCGCAGAAAAAGTTGCGCGAAGGATCGAGCAGGAGAGGCGGACCGAGCTGCTGAGAAGTTAACATGCAGAGCTGCTCGTCATGCATCGTTTAAACACAACACATCGATCCCAAACTCATGTTTCCTCCCAGATCTGCAGCAGAACCAGCACAACATGAAAACACGTTTAAATGTGATTCAGTATAAATCAATATTCTAATCATAAAATAACATACACAATAGATAAAAAAAACAAGCAGAGCTACAACTAATAATATTTTCACTGTTTGTTAATTAAGAATTTTCCTCATTAACGTCATTGTTTGACTATATTTTTGAGCAGCAATATAAAATGATGAAATATGTTCAGTTTCCTATCACAGAAAAGGAAAGAAACTAGAAAATTATTCACATTTAAGAAGCTCAAATTGCAGTTTTAGTGTCTAATCAAGGCTGCAACCAACTGTTGTTTTCCTCGTAGGTTATTTCCTTGATTAGTTGTTTTGTGTGAAATGTCAGAAAATGGTGAAAAATCTGCTTCTTGTCCAAAAATATTCATTTTACTGTCATGAAGGAGGAAAGAAAACAGAAAATATTCACATTTGAAAGGTGCAATCAGAGAATTTAGACTTTTTCCTTAAAAATAACTAATTAATTAAGAAAAATATATTTAAAAGCCATCAGTGAAGCTCAAACACACACCTGCACAGGTTGGCTTGACATTATAAATACCTGCTTTGCAAGATGAGGTCGTGGTTTTGTAGTCGTAGGTTTTGTAGTTTTGTAGTTTTTCTCCTTGCAGTTGCCAAAGACAACTGAACAACATTTCATAGTCTCCAGTTATATTGTCTAATAAAGGACATTAATAAACATTAATAAACTTCTTATTAGGGTCACAGTCAAGTACATGTCATGTGATGAGACAAAACATGACTTTTAATCACCTGATTTATAAAACATTTGTGATCATTTCAATATATTTATTCATAGCTGAGACTTGAGAACGTTTTCTTTTTCTGCTCGTTTAAATATTCTACCATGAGTTATGGCAGAGCAATAAGGCATCCTTGGGCTCTCTTATGCTGTTGCTATTTATTTAAAAGGTGCACAAACTCTCCCATAAATTCTGATTTAAAAGGTTGTGCTTCAGACATTACAGGCTTTATTTTATTCTTATTTTTTTAAGTGCTGAACCAATGCAGGTAGAGTACAGCAACTAATCAGTTACATGTAAATTATTAAATCAATCGCCAACTATTTTGAGAATCAATTGACCAGTTTGAGTCATTTTCTTTAGAAGAAAATTAAGAAAGAAATCAGTGATTTAAGCTTCCTAAATGGAAATATTTTCTGGGCTTTTTTTTCTAAACTGAATGTTTTTGGGCATTTGGGAAACACGAACTCACACTTTCCACCATGTTCTGACATTGTAGAGGCCAAACAGCTGATCAGTTTGTCAGTTTAAGTATTTGTAAAAAATAAAAACAGTCTAAATATTCTGATTGCAGCCTCCTAAATGTGAATATTTTCTGATTTATTTCCTCCTCTGTGTCAGTAAACTGAATATTTTTGGACACAATAAAAAATCTGTCATCTTTGGGAACCACTGGTCGACATTTTCTGACATTTTATAGGCTTAATAACTAATCGATTAGTGAGCAGGTAACGGTCAGACGCAGCTCAACGTGTCTCCATTTTCCTCATTTGTTGTTTTCTTGCTGCTGCGTTCTGATTGGCAAGCGGCCGCAGCTACGTCACTTCCTGCAGTGTGCAGCATGATGGCGGTGTCCATGACAGACCTGCCACACTGACTCCGACTGCAGCCTCACTTCATTACTTCTCTTTATTAACTCGAACCCGGTGGTTTCGTCGGTGGACGTCGGTGTAAATCCCCCGCAGGGAGCCGCAGGTGAGCCGCTGCCGGCGTGTCTGAGCTCCGGCCGCTTAAACTAGCTGCGGAGCTAAAGCTAGCTATTAGCCTTTAGCTCAGTGTTTGTGTAATACAAGGTTACAGGACGCTGCTGTGTTTCTGCACTTTTCCTGTCTGTTTGGGGCTTCTCCTCTCTGAAATGTGGCCGTTTGTTTCAGATCATGGCTCTTCACAGACTCAGCTTCAGGCTGCGGCAAACGGTAAGAAGCTGCAGCTACATTTTAGCCTTAAAGTTAATCATAACCATGCTAAATTTAGATTTATAGTGATTTATTATGTGACCAAAAGGTTTCATCTGGCTGGAAATAAAACAAACAAGTGACAAAGACAGTAAAACATTGTGTTAGAGATGTTAGTGGAGACGTTTAAAGCTTTTTAAGTTGTACCAGGAGTTTTGAAGGTCCAGTGTTCGCAGTTTGAAGCTTCATGAAGAAGTCCAAGGAGATCCTCACTGAAGAACATGTCAAAGGGCTGCAGGAGGACAGACGTGATCCCTGCACTGGAACAATGGTGGCGACCAAGAAGAACCCAAGGACCAGCACCAAGAGCATCCTGATGAATGTGAGCAGTTCTGGTAGCAACATGTCAATCAGACACTCCAGCAGACCAACAACAAGGCTGGTCTCCATGGAGACAAGGAGGATCCACTTCTCCAGGACTGAGAAGAAAGCTGCTGCTCATCACTTCATGAACATGGAGATGTTTGGACACAGAGAAAGGAGAAGCATCCAAGGCCAAGAGCAGCATCCCCACAGTCCAACATGGTGGTAGAACATGATGCTTTGGGGCTGTTGTTGAGCCGACGGACCAGACAGCCTGGTCAGAGGAAACGGCTTCATGAGAACAGAGGAGAACATCAGGAGGTCTGCAGGAACACTGCTCCTTTGGCAGCATTGGAGCTTCAACAAGACAATGATGTGAAACATGCAGCCAAAGTGGTGAAGAAACAGTGAAGAGGAAACAATGCAGAGATGTTGGAGCGGCCCAGACAGAAACCAGACCTGAATCCATCCAGAACCTGTGGAGGAGCTGAAGAGCAGAGTGATGGAGAGGAAGCCTTCAAGCACCAAGAGCTGCTGATGGACACTTGGAGGAACCAAATCCCAGAAACACTGTTAGACACTAAAACCACTGATGTGGAGTAAAATAAAGACTCTGATACTGATTACAGAATAATTACTCGATTTTGGATGTGGTAATTTTAGTAAAAATGTGTCTTATGTCATCTTCAGCCAGAAGAAACCTTTTATAAGAAACCTACACAAATAAAAATTCACTACAAATTGTTGTTTATTATTGTATATTCTTATTATTTATTATGGAGCAATAAATCTACATTTTTAACTGTATATTAAACACACAGTAAAGAGGTTATGTGTCACAGGGAGGAGGACCAAAATGTTTTTCATTCACAGCTGTTGTCATCAAATGTTGCAGGTTTGTCATGTCAGGACTCTCCATACGAGTGGTTGTGGGCGGCAGCAGGAAGCTGTGGTTGAAGAACCAGAACCAGAACCAGCACCCTTCTCAGTCTTCAGAACACAGGAGAATGATCCGGTAAGTGAAGAGAGCTCATCAGATGTAGAAAGATGTTCCACCATCAGATGTAGAAAGATGTTCCACCATCAGCCGTAGAAAGATGTTCCACCATCAGATGAATGCATCTTCCAACAACTGTCTCCTCTGTTCACTGTTTCTCAGCCAAGCTGCATTTATTTATTGATCCAGTAGGTTGGATTTTCTTTTTAGTCTCTTTTGTCGTTTCCTGTCTGCTCTGTGGAAACACGGCCTGCAGTTCACCTGAAAACTCAGAATTTTTGACTCTTGGTCACGGCTGACTCAGTCGTTGCGCTTCTGTCGTATTGAGGAACTCAGAATTTGTAGTTTTTTGCAGACGTTGATTAATGCATTGGGTTTATTTTGGGCAGTCTTAAAATGAGGCGAGTAGAATAAAGTGATTTTGATGAAATGTCGTAATTTCGTAATTTTTCCTGACTAAACAGTATGTTACTCGTTAAACACTCAGGGATTGATTGAAAAGTTAAAACTAAATGCTGCAATTTTTCGTGATTAAAAAAAGTAAAATAAACAATATTTAGGTACTTCGAGTGTTAACATTCTTATTAAGTGCTGTGTGTATTTATTTTTCAGAAGACTTTTCGGGTTCTGATCTGTGTGAACTCATGTTGCAGCTGATTTCTGTTTCCTGCTGCAGCAGCATCACAGTTGGTCGTGTCCTCATTCACTGACCCACAGCTTCACTTTGTTCCTCTGCAGGCCTGTCAGTCAGAGAAACACTTCGGACAGTTTTACACTCTGCCTTCTGCTCACATCGGCACTATGTTTCCTAAAGGACTCCCGTATCGCTATCAGCAGCAGGTACCGTCTCGTCTGAACATAAAATTAACAAATGAGGTATTGTAAAGTATCTGGATGTGAATAGATGTGTGGTTGTAGATGAAGACGTTCAACGAAGCCTGCGTCATGGTGCGGCCGCCGGCGCTGGAGGTCATCTCCTACCTGAAGAAAGCCGACTACAGCAAACCTGCTCTGCGATATTTGTTCTGTATCCTTCACGCTGACAGAAACATGAACACAGTCTCCTTGTTCTTCTGCTCCTGAATAAACCTGCTGTCGTCCTTATCGAGCTGTTCAGATGGTCTGAAGGGCAGCGGGAAGACCATGTCTCTGTGCCACACCATTCACTTCTGCTACGCTCAGGGCTGGCTGGTGCTGCACATTCCTGATGGTGAGACTGTCAACAACAACAACAATAATAATAATAATAATAATGATAAACCTCATTTCTTTTCCCAGAGAACGAGTAAGCAACAGTGAAAATATTAAAACAAGACAATAAAACATCAGCAAAGACACATGAAATATCTCAACTACATCATCTAAACTTGCCTTTTGACACCTTTTTTTCTTTCACAGCTCATCTGTGGGTGAAGAACTGCAGAGAGCTGCTGCCTTCGTCGTATAACACCGCTCGCTTCGACCAGCCGCTACAAGCCACGGCGTGGCTGCGCAGCTTCAGAACCAGCAACGAACGCTTCCTCTCACAGGTGACGGCGCAGCGTGTGTTTCGTTTTACAGTTCGAACCCGATGACCCTGCAGAGATCATTAGCGTATTTGTCGGATTATTAACGAGCGTCAGCAGACCTTAAATGAGCCTCGACTGTGTCTTCACAGCGGCTCAGCTCACACGCTGACACACATAAAGCAGCTGAACTGCTGCGTGACGCCACCTGATTCGACCCACATGTGCAGCTGCAGAACGAGGAGTTTGAAGTTCAGCAGCTTAATCTCTTTCGCAGCGCATCAACAGGAATGTAATATTAATTTGGTCGTTTTTATTTTGCAGTTGCAGCGAAGAGAGAACGAATTGGTGAAAGGCTGCACAGCACAGTCGTCCTCAGATATATTCATACCCTCCCATTAAAGGAGGATTACAAAGAACAACTGAAATAAGTTGAAATTGAACATCATGACATTGCTTTTGAATTGTGGTTCAACAGAAATATTAAAAAAACAAGCACGATAGGACCTGTGAACTAATATTTATTGAACAGCCCTTTGAGCCAATCACTGCCATCAGGTGTTTTCTGTAACTCTCAGTCAGACTTCTGCTCCTGTTGACAGGTATTCTGGACCACTGCTCATCAGCAAAGGGCTCTGATTTGTCTCGGACAGTTTTTAAAAAATATATTTTTTAATTTATTCTTTCCAACCACAATTCAAACCAACATCTTATTTCACTAAATTATAATTTAGCAAATTTTTATTTATTATTACTTTTGTCCGTTTCTACTTATTTGAGTGACTGTTGTGAATTTAGCCTTTTCTTTAATGGAAGTGGATGAATACATTAGAGGACGACTGTACATCATCAAATTAACGCAAACACATCGTGCTGCAAACTTGTGCTGCCCAGTACAGAAAAAAGTGCACATTTTCCACAACATGTCTGTCCGACAGAACTTCATTTACTCAGATTTAGGGCTTCTTGAACCTTATGTTAAAGACACAGAGTTTGTTGACCTGCAGGCTCCACATGTTCAACATGAGCAACGAAAAGGAAGATCTGGGTGCAATAAAAACAACAAAATCAGTTGTAAATATTTCAGCTGCAGCAAGGCAAACCAAAAATGTTCTCTGTCGTCTTACAGTTTAGGCAACACAACTAGTTTAATCATTTAAATAAGCAGCAGAAATAGCTCAGTGTTAACGAGCATAAAGTCAGATCTGAATGTCAAATAAATACTTTGGGTTCCTACATCAGTGTGACACCATATCAGAACGTTTCCACAAGGCTTTTTCTGCTTTTTTCCAAATTATTTTTGTATAATATGTATATAGAATATGTTATTATATGCAAATAAAAATGCTGCCTGTAGCTCTACTCGCTCAGGACCAGTGTTACCCGGGGACCTCACTAACATGGTAATGTGTAATGAATGCGGAGGTCGCTTGTGATCTCAAAAGTCAGCAGTTTGTAAAGATTTTACTCCAAATTATGCAGAGTTATGGAGGAAAGACAGAAACGCATTTTAAGTGCAAATTTAGAAGGCTCGTGTCTCTTTACAGCATTCACAGAAAAGTGAAATCTCATGATTATTAGATGTGCTGTGTTTCAACGAGCTCAGCAGTTATCACGTGCCGCCGTGGTAACATCATAGCTAACAGACTCTGCTTATGCTGTGCAAATACATCCAAAGAAACCCAGACGAAGCAGGAGATTTCTAAATCCCATGAGGTAACAGAAATGCTGCACCAGTAGGGATTTATTTATGTTCTATGAAGTTACAGCGTTTAACAGATTTATCAGACCTCCACCCAGTGTCAGGTTTATGTCACTAAATTAGCAGCATTGAAATCATGTCTTATGTTTCTGTAACGGTTCATACACCAGGATGTAGAAGCTCTTCAACCAAAATGATATTTTTAATGCTAAAATACAATTATTATTGTTATCCAGGAATTTTATAATATACAGTTTAAATTTTTTTTTTAAAAGCTAAAAAAAAATAGTTTTGTAGATTTTCAGAAAACTTATTTTTTTGTTGTTTGCTTGAGAGAATATCAATCAAAGTGAAGCTGAGTGGATTTGACTCAGTAGAAATGACAACAATAGAGACAACTGATTGATGTCTCAGGTAGACGATGGAAACGTGGGTTTTCTGAAGGTTTGTGAAGATGGAGGTATCTGATTTTGCAAATGAACTCTTCATATGTATTCATACACACAGTGTTAACAAATTAGACAGGTGGTTTAACGAAGTTGTTAAACACTGTATGTCTACTGAGGACACTGAGAGCACATTTCTTGCGGTGTTTTGAATTTAAAGCAAATAAAACTTGTGTATTTTACTTGAGACGAACTTCACAAAGCAACACGGTGCTTCATATATGTACACATTTGTGTGACTTAAAAAAAAAAAATCATTCGGTCCACGGTTTAAACTTAACCTGACTTTATTAATCCCCCAGAGGGAAATTCAGTTGTTACAGCAGCATGAATATTCAACAAAGGGGGTAAACAAAGCAAAAGACAGCACAGAATATTAGGGTATAAAATGAAAGTTTAATAAAGTAAAATAAGATAAAAATATAGAAAGTATAATATAGAAAAAGTCAACAAATTTACAAGAATATATAAGAGAGATACAGAAATGTGCAAATGAACAGAATGTGCAAATGTGCTTAGGTTGAAGCATTAAAAAGTCTGATTGCAGTCGGGAGGAATGACCTCCTGTGACGTTGCTTGGAGCAGCAGGGTTGTAACAGTCTGTTGCTGAAGTCTGTTTTATCTCTGAAATATAGTCATGAGCTCTGAATAGTGACTCAAAGAATGAAATAAAACATTGTGTAGTTTGTACAGTTTGCAAATTAGAACTGAGATGTATTTGTGATTGAAATAAATTTGAGTTAATGTACATTGTTGGCATTAAAATCAGGTGAGCAGAGCCTCAAAGAGGGTTGAATTCTGAAAACCAGTGAGAAAGAAAGTCCAGTTGATCAGAGGGTCGATGGTGAGAAAGAACATACCTGGAGCACAAACCCCATAAAAGCCAGTGAGTGAAACTTTCGCGTTTCCCTCCTCAGCTGAAGACGACGCAGCGCTACATTTGGACGAAGAGGGAGTTCACCGAAGAAGACCGTCCGCTGGGAGAGCTGGTGGATCAGGTGAGGCGTTCAACTGATGCGGTTTTATCTCGGGCCTCCCAGGACGTTTTCATCATCCGCTACCTGTTTCTTTTATTCTTGCCCGGCTGATTCCCCTACAGGGGGCATTAAAGTTTCAGCTTTCACCCCGGCTCTGCTCGGCGCCGATCGATCGCTGATGAAGTGAGCGAGTGATGGATCGGCAGAGAGCGACTCTGAGTTTATCCCTGTCTGAGCGCCATGTTGCTGCTTTAAATCCTGTTTTTGTGCAAATTTCGTGACCTTTCGTGTCACTGTGAGCTTGTGTATACTCATTTAATGCATGTATTGATCAGCAGCTACATTATCTGACAAAGTAGATTGATTTAGAGTTGCATTTTTTTCTCATCTTTCTCCTGTTTCGACGTCTGTATTAACCCTCTGAACCCTAAACAGTTTGTGGGTGTTTTTTTATTTGCTCCTCTCATTTTTCACTGTAACATAAAGTCCTGCACCTCTATGGACTCAGAACAACCATGAAGAAGGAGACAGAACTCAGAAATGTCAGAATGACACAGTTAGAATGCCAGAAATCCTAAAATAAGACAAAAACAAAAGTTGAACTTCTTTGATTATTCATGTTTAGAGCAATAAGCAGCAGAATTAGCATTTTTGTAAGTCTCCATAAGTGTGAACAACATTGGAGCAACCATGTTGGCTCCACATACTGTAAATATTTAACCCTGAGCCATAAAATAATTGCCAGAAAATTCTAATTTTTGAAATGGGAGTGTTTATTGAACCTTCTGACAATCTGTCAAATACCAAGCACTTGGTGTTACAGGGTTGACCTCTTTTAATTTGCTAACTTGCTGAATTCGGTCAAAAAGTTCCAGAATTTTTGTGAAGTACATGTTGGTCTCAGTTGAGTCAGTCGTGGCTTCACAGTTGCACCAAAGAACGCAAAATTATTTGTTTTTTGCAGAATCTATCCGGTGCAAACGGTTGATTTTTGGGTAATTTTTAAAGGAAATGTTAAATTTTAAAGAAATATCATGATTTTACCAAGTGAACATAACGTCAGAAAGGATTGTCGGAAGTTTAAAATCTCAGGATTATTTCAGTTTTTACAGGTTCTGGCTGATAATTTGTGTCGTTTTTGCACTTTTTTGTGACAGACTACAGACAAGACGGCAGGTTTTGGGGTTCAGAGGGTTAAAGTGACGCTTAATGAGTCGAGAACTTGTCGGCAGTTCAACCAGTTTGTGCTCAGCTGGTTAAATCGAACCATTTTCTAACCAAAACAACAGAAATGACATTTTAAACTTTTTGTGCATGCTGTGCCATTTTAAATGAGACACGTAGAATAAAATGATTTTGATTAAATATTCTGATTTTAAGCTCAAATTCAGATAATTTTGGGAGTAGCATGACCAGCATTAAAAGGTTATGCATGACACGGTTTGTTTTCAAGCATAAAAATCAGATAAACTGAGCATGAAATGATCCTCCGACGCCCTCCGCCCACTCTTCACCTCGACTCTGCTGCTCAGATTGTCTCCCGCTAACATCTACAGTTTTATTCCCTCTGATTTCTCGGTCGTCGGCCCTCTGACGGCGTGTCCTCGTCTTCAGGGGATCTCTCGAGTGAAGAGCAGCAGCGACGTGGTGGGGGCGGTGATGAAGGAGCTGAGGCTGCAGAGCGGCCAGCCGGGGGCTCACTTCCGCCTGGCCGTGGTCGTGGACGGAGTCAACGCCCTGTGGGGAAGGTCCACCATCAAGAAGGAGAATCACAGCAACGTGAGAACACTAAGGAATCACATTGAATGCTGCTTCTTCTTCTTCTTCTTCAGGTAGAAAAGCTCACGTTTGTCACTTTCTCAGGTGGAACCAGAGGAGCTCACTTTGATCCACAACCTGAAGAAGCTCGTGAGGAACGACTGGGTGAGAAAAACACTGTTAGAGTCATGAACAAAAGCTTACGTCCACTTGTAAAGACCATGTGTATCAGGTCTGACTTCAGTTTCCAATGACTGCTATAGCTCTGAATTTTCTGATGGAACCATTTCTTCACCACTTTGATGTGTGTTTGGGCTCATTGTCTGGTTGGAACATCCAACTGTGTCCAAGATCAACCTTCTGATGATGGTTTCAGGTTTTCCTGAACAATGTGGAGGTAATCCTCCTTCTTCTTCTTCATTGTTCCATCTTCTTTGTGTAAAGCTTCAGTTCAGAGCATGATGCTGCCACCTCCATGCTTGATGGTAGGTTTGGTGTTCTTGGGGTTGAAGGCCTCACCCTCTCTCCTCCAGAAGGCCTTTTTCTTTGTCCATGTGATCAAACTTCAGTGGAGCTTTCAGGTTTTGCTTCTAGAGGAAGAAGTTCCTTCTTCATCAGCCTCTCAGCTCATGTTGATGTCAAGCCCTGTGGACACTGACAGCTGTGTTCCAGCAGCTTCTGATCCATCCAGAGCTGCTTTCTGCTGATTCCTGGTTGACTCTTGACCATCCTGACCAATCGTCTCTCAGCAGCAGCTGGTAGTTTGTGTTTTCTTCCTGCTGATGGCAGTAACACAACTGGACCATGAACTTTATACTGACAGACTGATGGTTCTGGGATCTGAAGCTGCTTTTTTTCGAGCTTGTTCAAGTCAGTGATTTGTTTTTTCAGATCTTTGCTGAGCTCCTCAGACTTTCCCACTGTAGTGTTTGTGTCTGAGTCTAATGAGTGGATCAGATGGTTCTATTGAAAGTGGATCAGAGGAGAAGATGTCATGAAACTGAGTGCTTCAAGGTGCTGTATGTATATTTATGACCCAGCAAATGTCATATTTCTAGAATACCTTTAATAAATCTACCAAACAACCAAAATACAACGAGCTCATCATAGAAAATTAAGACTTAAAGGAGTCGTTGGAACCTCAAGATGGACGTACATGGTCATTACAAGCAGATGTAAACTTGCGTTCTCGACTGTACATCAGAATACCAACTGAAGAACTTTTCTCTCTTGTCTCAGACCGGAGGCGCCATCATCACCACTCTGTCCCAGACTGGGTCTCTCTTCACGCCAAAATCTGCCTACCTGCCTCAGGAGCTGCTCGGAGAGGTGAGAGATCTTCACTATCTGTAGAAGTCATCATTTATAATGCTGGTAGTTGGTCAGGAGGTTGCAGAATGAGACACTTTATGTTGTCTGTGAGCAACACAACAGGCAGTACATCCAGAAGTCTCGCCTGAAACTGATCTCTCACTCCTTGTTTAGTGCGTCTACACCCTCCGTATTGACTAATTGGATATTTTACACAATGAGAAGCTTTTAAACCCCAGAATGAGTCCTCTGATGTTTCCGTTCCCGTCTTGCCGGCCTGTTTGTAGCGTTAAACCGTGTGACCGAGTCGTTTCTGACATTATCCATCAGACGTCAGCGGATCAATTTACTCATGGAGCAGTAAATCCATCAGCGTCTCTTTACACATATACAGGACAACAATTGGACTATAAAACTCGTAACTTTCTCATCCCGCCTGATAAAAAAATATAAATTTTAACTCTCTGGACTCCACAACTTGAAAGAGATGTTTTCTTTTATTAAAAATCGCCAAAAATACAGCATTACACAAGAGCCAGAAGCCGTAAAAACAGAAAGAATTTTTACATTTTCAACTCTCCGACAGCCCTCAAAGGTGTCATTTGTCGGGAAAATGAACCAAATCTAATATTAAAATTGTGACATTTCATCAAAATCCACTTCCATATTTAATTTAAAGATTTGCAGGCGGCCGTGGCTCAGGTGGTAGAGTGGGTTGTCCACTAATCAGGTTGGCGGTTCGATCCCCCGCCCCTCCACAGCCGAAGTGTCCTTGGGCAAGACACTGAACCTGAAGGTGCTCCTGATGGCAGGCAGCACCTTGCATGGCAGCTCTGTCGCCATTGGTGTGTGAATGTGATCTACTCTCAGACGTACATCCTAAATTAAATTGTATATTGTAAAAATTTGCCAACAACATTATAACTTCTGTCAAAAAGTGCAACCAAGAGCCAGTGAAGGTGTCTATGAAGAGTGTCAGTCCTCCAGGTCATGGTTATTCTCGTAGATTAATGGTAGCAACTGGACTTGCTTGAGTTCCTTGAAGACGTTCCACCTCTCATCCAAGAGGCTTCATCAGTTCTGACTAGTTGGGAGTTCCAGATACTGATATCCTTAGATATCCTCTGGAACTCCCAAGAGCTACGATTCAGGAACTTCTCGGCTGAACTGCAGGTTGTGATTCCACCGAGCAGAGAGGAGGCAAGTTGGGAAGTGATTTCAATAATAAAATAAATGCAGCGTGGCTCAGAACCGGTGAACAGAGGAGTGAGTTGTTGGAGATACACTCAGCTGATGGTGGAACAACTTTCTACAGCTGATCAGTCTTTAGGATGTGGAGACGAAACTGGGACACAAAACAGATAGGACAAGACAAAGAGACGGGAGACGACACAAACAAGACACAAAACTGCGTCAAACAGAAGGAAAACAACCAAAAGCAGACCCTCCAAAAATTAAAAAAAGAGACAAAACTGAACCACAAAACAGACGGGACACGACAAAGAGATGCAAAACAACACAAACAAAACACGAAAACATGGACAAAACTGCATCAAACACAAATACAACAACCGAAGGCAAACCCACAAAAAAGGAAAAACAACACAAAACAGCAGAAAGAGACAAAACTGTCCCACAAAATGTTTGCGAGGGTGTAAAAACTAAAAATAGTTTCAAATGTACAGCATGTAGAGCCTCCGTTTTTATCCACTGTTGGGAAATCCTGCAAAGAAATTCCACTTTTTATTCTAATTTAATGCACAGAAAACATTCCTGAGTCCTTCTTCATGTCGTTGTGTTTCCATAAAGCTGCAGGACGTTATGCTGCAGAGAAAAATGAACCCACAGTGAAGAAAAATGAGACGGGAGCAAATAAAAACTGCTGCTTTAAGTTCTGGACTTCAGCTGCTGACCTTTGACCGACCGTGTGGGCGTAACTTTTTAGTAATGCATTAATTCAGGTTTTTTAAAAAATGTGCTTTATCGATTTCTTCCCTGGGCGTTACACAAGGGCTGATATTTGTATTGGTTTGAATGCTGTAACGGGAGCTTTAGAGCTTTTGTGGAGGTCGGAGCCCAGCGGGGTTCAGCTCCTTCAGCATCACCGGCTCACATCATGCAAATATCCCAACTGTGGGATTAATGAAGGTTTAACTTGTCTCTCCTAATATAAGTCCTAAATCTGCTCTCAGAGTTTTGAACAAACAGATGTAGAAAGTTTACTCCTTTTCTTTGACTTTATGTGGAAGTTTTATTAACCTAAAGGCAGCAAATAAACGATTTCTACGTTAAAATCTTCAGTCGTCGGGAAGAATGGACGCCATCCGGACCGTCGGAGCAACATTAGATTCAGTAAAAGTCTAAGTCTTGTTTCCTCTGGAGAGTCGTGGCGTTTTTCTGTTGGATAAAGAGGATTATTATATATACAGTAGCTGATCTGATAACTTTAGGAAATGAATATAATCTAATAATAAAAGCACCGTTTTTCAGCTTACATGCTTTAGTTGGATCTTTGCAAAGTCTGTTGTTTTTATTTGGCAGGAATTTAAGTGAAAACTGTTAATAAAATGCAAAGATTATTAAGTGTACAGTTGAAACCAGAAGTTTCCATGTTTTATGTCTCACTGTCTGACATGAAATCAGACCAAACTTCCTGTTTCAGGTCAGTTAGGATCAGTTAGGATTACCAGCATTAGAAGTACCAGAAGTTTCTATCCATCTCCTCAGTATCTGGTAGCATTGCCTTTAAACTTTATGACTTGTGTCAAACGTTCTGGGTTTCCTTCCACAAGCTTCTCACAACAGTCTGATGAGTTCTGGTCCATTCCTCCTGACAGAACTGGTGGAACTGAGTCAGGTTTGTTGGTCTCCTTGCTCCACTGATGTTCTCCAGGATGGAGATCAGGGCTTTGTGATGACCACTCCTCAACACTGACCTTGTTGTCCTGAAGCCTCTCTGTAACTAATCTGGCGCTATGCTGAGGGTCATTGTTCATCTGAAGACCCATTTAAAGCTTTAACTTCCTGCTGATGTCTGGAGATGTTGCTTCAATATTTCCACATCATGTTCTTTCCTCGTGATGCCATCTATTCTGTGAAGTGCAGCAGAACACCCCCACAGCATGATGCTGCCACCCCCGTGCTTCACAGTTGGGATGGTGTTCTCAGGCTTCAAGCTTCCTCCTTTTTCCTCCAGATGTAACGATGGTCATGAAGGCCAAACAGTTCAGGTTTAGTTCCATCAGACCACAGGACATGTCTCCACTAATGAAGCTCTTTGTCCCTGTGTGCATTTACAAACTGTAATCTGTCTTTTCTATGTTTCTTCTGGAGTGATGTCTTCTTCCTCTCTGAGCAGACTTCCAGCCCATGTCGGTACAGGACTGGTTCCACTCTGGATAATGACTCTCTACTGTATCTGAGCTGCAGGACTCTTTCTGCAAATTAGTTTAAAATTCATTTGAATTAGCAGAAGGTGCAAAAAGTGCATAAATTAAGCAAAACGATGCTGATAATCTTGGTGGAATCTGACCTTTAAGACTAATTAGACTCTTAAAATTTCAGCAAAACAACATCTTTTGTCCACATCTGGCGGTTTTCACTGGAACGACTTCAAAATAAAAATAGAAATACTTTCTGTTTCTGCTGTTCTTGACTCTATAAATCCCAGTTTACCTCCTGTGCACATCTGTGTTGTCTTGGTGTTATTTACTGACACTGATTTAATCTCACCTGTACAGATTTGCACTGTAAAATATTCTCAAACTTCTTTTTTAACGTTTAATTTCTGCCTTTTTAAACATGTTTTATCGCTGCACTTTGTTTTTGAAAAGGGTTTTCAGAAATGCGATAGAAAAAAAGGAGGTTATTCTTTATTCTAACTATTATTTAATGTCCTGTTTTCTGACTCAGACGGGGTTCGACAGCATGGACCCGTTCATCCCGGTGTCGGTGCCCAACTATAGCGAGAAGGAGTTTGAGAGCTGCTACCTTTACTACATGGACCGACACTGGCTGCAGCATGCGCAGAGTGAGTGAAGGAGACGGAGCTCTGTTGTGACCAAGACGTGTTTTCACTGTTGATTGTTTCATTTTTGCCTCAAAAATGATGAAAAATGTTTAGTTTACTGCCACAGAGGAGGAAAAAACCCAGAAAATATTCACGTTCAAGGAGCTGCGATCACAGAATTTACACTTTTATGTGACTCTGATTTATTTGCTCCCGTCAGGTCGAACAGAAGACGGGAAGAAAGAACTCGTGTTTCTGAGCAACAGGAATCCGGCGATGTTGGAGAAGCTCTGCAGTTTCCTGTAAAGATTTAACTGTCACACAAATGTCCCACATAAATAGTAATATTACTGAAATACGCCAACATGCAAACGTCCGTAAAATGTGTAAATTATGATGCATGAGTGTTGCTTTGATAATAAAAAGTTAAAAACGTGAAGCTGATTTTTCTCTGGTTCACCGGTTCGATTGTTGACGGTGAGTTTGTTTGTTGGGTCTTTTCTGTTCCACTCTGTTCTTGGACTCTTTTTTTAATGTCTCGTAGTTGCTCGTTTTGCAGATTTAAGTCCCGTTAATGTGCATTTTGTAAACGAACAGTGTTAAAAATGTGTTTTCTGCATTTGTCGACACTTTTTAGAGGGAAAGAAGACGCAGAGAGGAAGAACCTCGTCAGAGCTGCTGATTAAATGACTTTAGATCAACATAACTTATTTATTAGACACATTTCACACAATAAAGGGAGTTACTTAGTGAAATTGAGAGACAACAAACCTACAGGCAGAAATATGAGCCACTAGAATGTGAATTTAAAGAGTTTACATTTTAATTTTCATTGCTCATGTTGAATTGTTGTTTTTAAAAATCTGTTTTGATCACATGATTGGAACTGAATCCAGTTGCTCCAGAAAAAGAGCAGTAAAAACATGTACTTCAATCCAGTTTTTAGAATTAATCTTCAGTTCCTGGTGTCTTCCTGTCCGTACAGGCCACTGAAGAACAAAGTTATTACAAATGTGTATAAGGAGTTTTTCTAACATTAAAGTTTCTATCTGTGAAACTTTGGATTCATTTGGGCTTCATCTATGAATCATTTTATGATGTATTCACTTTAATTTATGACTTTAAATAGTCCAGATTGTTTTCATTTTAAATTTTATTGAGATTTGACCCAAATATTTAAATAAGTCACAAGTAGATTTAACACCATGAGGTACATTTGTGTTTTATTTAACGTTATTATATGTTATATAAACGAACCTCGACTTCTCATTTAGTCAGGTGAATGTGGGTCTTATGCAGATTTTAACTGGTGTTTTATATAATAGTCTCAGGTTTATACCATTTATATATTTAAATTAGTCTGACCATTTGGTGTTTTCAATATCATAGAATTTTAACCTTCATTTATTGAATTAGGTACATTTGTAATTCATATATCATTCTTTTCCTTCTTCTCATTGTTATGATAATTCTGACTTTATTTTTTATTTTTTTAGTATATATATAAATGTTTGGGGTGACAAATATTCCTAAACCTGATTTGTCTGATCAAATCAGGTTTAGGAATATTTGTATTTTAAGTTGTATTTTATATAACATTGTAGGGCCTTATTGAGGGAACTTAACCCTAATTTTCTTTTTCTTTTTCCTATTATTAGACAAATATTTCTGATAAAATAATAAAATAGATCCTAATTTGTCTCATCACATGGGTTTGTATTGTTAATAATATTGAGGGAACTTTACCCTCATTTTTTTCTTCTTCTTCTTCTTCTTCTTATTATTATTCTAGTCTATCAACACAGGTTTAATCAGAATGAGGCAGCAGCAGCTTCCTGTATTGGTGGATCTCTGGGGGCGTGGCGCCACCTGGCTGCAGCTCCTGGACGCTGCAGGGCTGACCTCATGACCCTCTCTGGAGTCACATGACCATCTCTGGAGTCACATGACTTCTGTGAGGCGGTGAGCAGTGTGTTGAAACGCTGGAATGGCAGCTTGGAGCAGACTGAGGTGACAGCTGAGAGTAAATAACAAACAAACAAACAAACAAACAACGTAGCTGCAGAGTTTCAGTCGTCAGGATCCTCTCAGGTGAGAAACCTGAGATCATGTGACAGTGAAATGTGATCAGCAGTTTGTTCAGTCAGATTTGACCTGGATCTGTTGTTAGCAGATAAAATGTCTTCTCCTGTGGTTCTGGTTCTGCTCCTGGTCTCGACCCCACTGATCCTCTCTGCAGGTAAACACCTAAACTCACAGTTCACTTCCTGTTTGTGAACAAAAGTCACCTTTTCTTTTTCTCCTCCGTCCAGGAAGCAGTAAATGTATCTCCAGGAACTTTGGACACGACTCGGTGGTGTGCGAGTGCAACTCCACCTACTGCGACAGCATCGGTCCGGTCCGGCTGCCTCCAGTAGGCCGGTTCTCCTCCTACCTGAGCAGCCTGGAGGGCAGCAGGCTGGAGGCTGGCGAGGCGGAGGTCCAGGTGAACGGCAGCTCCACAGGTTAGTCCAGCAGGACGGGTTCTGCTGCTGCAGCTCTAGACTGTGTGTCTTTATGTGTGCATGTCTGTTCCAGGCCTCAGGCTGACTCTGGTTTCCTACCAGAAGTACCAGAAGGTCCGAGGGTTTGGCGGCTCCATGACGGACGCAGCAGCCATGAACATCCTGTCTCTGTCTGCTGGGTCACAGGAGCAGCTGCTGAGGCAATACTTCTCCTCTGAAGGTACCAAATATGATCCTGAACCCCTCACAGTCCTGCACAGGAGCTGATCTAGAGTCAAGTTTTAGGTTTCATGTGGCTGGAAATGAAATCAAACCCATTACAGACACTGTTTTAGATTTAATAATGATGAATTATTCAGCGTTTCTCTGCTCACTTTGCTGCCAACAAACTCTGTATCTTTAAATAAAGCTAAAAAAAAATCCCTAGATTAGAGTGAATGTTGTTTCAGAGTCTTAATAATAATACATTTTATTTGTATAGCACCTTATACAACACGAAGATGAAGTGCAGGCGAACACTCACAATATAAAAATACACAATAAAAATGAAAAACTACAGGCTGGGTCCCTATTGGAAGGTGTATTATAATAAAACTAGTAAAACTGATTAAAAGACGACATCACAGATAAAAGCTGAAGATAAAAGTAGGTTAAGAAAGAGAAAAGAGAGCAGGACAGGAGGCAGTGCCGCTATAAAGGGAAGAGAAAATGTAAAAGAGAAATAAAAGAGGACATCAGTCCACAGCGAGACTATGAAAGTGGGTTTTAAGAAGTGATTTAAGAGAAGACACTGAATCTGCTGGTACCTCAGTGGTGGGAGATGTTTTTCTGTTTCTATGAAGCATGTTTGATGTGATCGGCCTGGTTTCACATCACGACGCTGCGTCGACTGTTTTACATGTTAACTAATCCGGTTGCAGGAATCGGCTTCAGCGTCGTTCGCGTCCCGATGGCCAGCTGCGACTTCTCCACCCGCCTGTACACCTACGCCGACTCGCCTGGAGACTACGGCCTGGACAACTTCACCCTGGCAGCCGAAGACGTCCATATGAAGGTCTCCGTCTTTCTCCTTCCACTCGTTGGGATCTGGAGGCTCAGTTTAGTCCAGAGATCTGCAGATTCCAACCTGATCAATGCACCACTTTGAGGTTATTTATGAGGAACGCTGTGAATCATCCAACTTGGTCCACGTTAACATCACAGTAAGAGCAGCATAGTTGATGGTAATTATTCTTATTTATGATGATTTACAGCCTTGGAAATAGTGGTGCTCCTACATTTAATCTAATCTGAGTTTAGATCATTTAAATAATCCAGAAGAAAAGATGCAGCTGCTGCTCAGGAGAAAAACATCTTACATGTTTTGGGGGAAATCGTCTGCTTTAGAGATAAAGTTTGTTCAATCTTACATCTTACAGATATTTAAGGATAATGTTTTATTACAAATATACATCAGGTATATGTATGTATATTTATATAGTGAATTTATAAATCTTACATTAAAAATAATATTGATATTCTCACCAGCATTAAACAAGAAATGTCCTAAATATGTCACAGGACACACATACAAACAGTAAATTCATGTTTTTGATCCACTCCGTCTTATTATTTTTAATTTCTTTAAACCTCTGAAC